AATTTTAGGTGGTCCACTCCTATGGTTATAATAAATTATTTTCATAGATCTCTCCATTAATAATTATCTTTAAAAAGTACTTATTGCTGATTACTAAAAAGTAAGCAGCTTAAAGAGCTCAACCGAAGGACTTGTATGCATGCATATAAGCATAACCAATGGACACAAAACTCTGGGGAGGGAGGGCATGTATGGGGGGGGGCAATGGTAAGATATGTACACATATAATACCTTAAAAAAAATTAGCAGCTTAAAGAAACACCCACTCATTATGCACGGTTCTGTGGGTCACACATAGCATGTCTGGGTTTTCTGCTCAGTGAACCACGTGGCTGAAGTCAAGGTGGTGGCTGGGCTGAGCTCTTGCCTGGAGGCTCTGGAGGAAAAGCTGCTTCCAGGGTCACCCAGCTCCCCTGTTTCCTTGCGGTCGGCAGCTGGGGGCTGCTCTGGGGTCCTTTCCACAGAGTCCCCTCCATCTTCAAGCCAGTAGCAAGTGTACACTGAATCCTTCTTGTGTTTCGGATCTTCCCAATTGACCTTTCCGGAACCTCCCAGAGAAAGCCCTCTGCTTTTAAAGGTCTCCTGTGTATGTATTAGGCCCTCACAGATCATGTCCGTATCGTCAGGTTAACCAATTAGTAACCTTAATCACATCTGCAGAATCCCTTTTGCCGTGCAAAGTAGCATAATCACAAGGGCTCTCTCAGAATTCTGCCTGCCACGCTCACTCAACATCGAACCTTCAGTGTTCTATAGGTTCCGTTTTCAGGTTGAAGAGCATGACAGAACAACTGGAACACTAAATGAGTTATATTTAGTTTAAATTACTTTTGTTTTGAACGTGATGCAAAGGATTTGTGGTACCGAAAAACACATTTCCTTTTTAAAATAAGTCTATATATGTATCAGATAGAAATACATTTAAGAAACATATTTTAAGGAGCTCTTACAAAAGCCCAGCCTATGGCCTAGAATTCTTTGATTCCACCAGGTGACAAGGAGTAGCATTATCTTCCCCAGTGCATGCTACTAACCCTGGTCTTGGTCGTACACTAACGATGCAAACTAGGAGACTTGAGAGCTAAGAGACCAGAGATCCTCTGTCATCCTCCCCTCCCTTTTCTGTAAATAAGGGACCAGAGCCTCAGAGAAGGCCACAGGGCCAGCTCATTAGTGGTAGAGATTGGCCTCGAATACATGTTAATTTGATTCCCTACCTGGTAGTAATAACAGTGTCATTAATTGAAGATTTTCTATATAACAGATACTACCCCAAGTACTTTAAATATATTGTTTTCTTTAATCCTCACAAGAACTCTGTGAGGTAGACCTCATTATTGCCAGCGCCATTTCAGTGTGAGAAAACTGAGTCCTGGGAGGGTAACTTAGCATCACCCAGCTGGTACGCAGCGGGAGAGACAGTGGGACACCAGGACCTGACCTGCTCCTCCCCCACCTTTCGCTGGGACAGGACCTCTCACACAGCACAGAGTTAGCTCAGTGCCGTCTCTGTCTCCATTGTCAGCTGCACAGGCTGCCAGTTGGTTATCTGACAGCCAGTCCGTGATTAGCAGAGAATTGGAGTCTGGGACCTGGGCACGCACTCCGGCCCTGTCATTGTCTATGTGGTTTCAGGGATCTGTGTGACCTTCTGGGGACTCGGTTGCTGTGTATGTGGAAGGCGGGATCTCTAGAGTTGTCCCGAAGAGGATGCATGTCAACAGCAGTCTGTAAACCAGAGGACCGCATGCCCATGGTTTTGTTCTTGGACAGATGATGGCTGGTTCTCATCACCCTATAGCCGCAGATTTTGTCCTCTTGCTGTATCAGACATTGTGAAAGTATCAGACATCACACGTAACACAGTCGTCTTTGCCACTGTCCGGGCTTTGTCCTGAGACCTTTAGGAACCTCGTTGCTTTGAAAGTTGTGTTTGCTGTGCATACCCTCATTCCACATTTTCAAACTCAGCGGGAGTTGTAGGCCTCACTTGATGGTGGTGGTGAACAGGGCATTCTTCGCAGGAAGTGAGCAGGGAAGCTACAGGCAGAGGCCAGGACTCAGCCCTGGGCCCGGCTCCCTCACGCCAGCCCAGGACCTTCCATGATTCCAGTTTACACCTGGACAAATGTTATTGCTTTTTTATATTAGATATTAGGGAACTGCTCTAAATAAAGTCATACGTATTATTTTATTTTTTAAATATATTGATTTTTTAGAGAGGAAGGGAGAGAGTTAGAAACATCAATGAGAGAGAAACATCGATCAGCTGCCTCCTGCACAACCCCCATTGGGGATGTTCCCGCAACCAAGGCACATGTTCCTGACCGGAATTGAACGTGGGACCTTTCAGTCCGCAGGCCAACGCTCTATCCACTGAGCCAAGCTGGTTTCGGCTAAAGTCATACATATTAAATTGATGAATACCGAGATCTATTTTTCCTCCCCATCCTTTTATTTTAAACACTTTAACTTCTTATATGTATTTTTCACTATACCATTTTAAAATAAATTGCAGGTTATATAACATTTCAGGTATAAATGTTTCTTGTAATAAATAAGGATATTTTTTATAAGACATGCCATTATCTACCTAGGAAATTAATAATTTCCTTATATCCTTTAATAGCCAGTTTATACTCAAATTTTCCCTACTTGTGCTAAAATTGCTTTTAAGTGTTTTGCTTTTATGGTTTCTTGTTTTTTATTTACCCCTCCCCAAAAAAAATAAAATTAAAGCCATCACTCACAGCTTTTAATAGTTATATCTCTATGATTTTTTTTTTAATCTGGAACAATTTACTCAGCATTGTTAGTTTGTTTATTTTCATTGATATTAGCTATTTTAAGAGATTAGGTCAATTCTCTTGAATGAAATCCCATGTTCTGGGTTGTCTTTTTTTTTTTATTATTGTCATTTATCTTTTTACCCTATCTTCTGTAATTTTGAAAACTAGAAGTTGGTTCCAAAGATCTGATAAGAAGCAGTCTGTGTATTTTTGTTCTGGAGAGCTCCATAGGTGATATCGTGTAGGTTGTATCAGGAAGCACTTATGATTGTTCTGCTGTTAGTGCTGCTCAGTTTGACCACTTGATTACGATAGCCAGGTCTCCCAGTGTTCACGGGTGTTTTCCTTGAACAAGCAGAACTAATTCGTGGAAAGATTTTTGTGTGTGGCTCGTATGAATAGTTAGTGATGTTAGCATTCATCAGTGTGCCTTATTTGAATTATTCACTCCGTTGGAGGTTACAGATTGGTAATTTTAAAATGTATTCCTTTTACATTTCATATATAGTTGATTTCAGAGAGGAAGGAAGTGGGAGAGAGAGATAGTAACACAAATGGTGAGAGAGAATCATTGATCGGCTGCCTCCTGCATGCCCCCTACTGAGAACTAAGCCTGCAACTGGGCATGGAACGGTGACCTCCTGGATAATAGGTCGATGCTCAACCATTGAGCCACACCAGCTGGGCTCCTTTTACATTTCTTAACTAACATTCCTCTGTAAAGAAGAGCTTTCTCCCATCAACGGCAGATACTTTGTATCATCTTAAGTTAATATCAGTACAACATGTTTATTATTATCAATTATTTAAAGTATCAGTACATGTTTATTATCAGTTATTTAAAATATCAATTTAAAGTACAACATGTTTATTATTAATTATTTAAAATATCAACTGAGCTGGAAATGAGTCACAACTGTTATTTTATGTATACTTTTTAAAGCATTTTGACGTACGTCAAAGGTGAAAGCGGAGAACAGATAAAATTTAAAGCAGTGTTTCCATTGGTGAACGGATATTTACAAGAGGTTTGGTGAAAGGAATTTCATCAAGTCACCGGAAATATCGGCAAATAATGTGTTGATCTAAAATGAAATTGCTAATATCAGGCACCAAAAGAGCTTATTGAATCCCCAGAATGCTAATGATACGCATGATCCATGCCGATGATAGTTAGACCTGACAAGGAGTCAAGGATTACAGGTCATTTGCACTGTCACCCTGTTGTCCCAGCTTTGGTGGTCTCCCAACGCCGCACGCCAGTAGCTGCACGCCAGTATGCAAGGCCCTTCGTCACATGACCCACCCCCACCTTTCCTCCTCCTGTCTTCTTGCTGCTGCTTCAGCTCCTGTCTGCCCATTTCGCAAGCTCAGCTCCAATCCCACATGCCCCCTGAGGACGCTCCTTCCTCCCCAACCTCTCAGAGAGCACTTCCCACCTCTCCCCTCTCCCCTCTCCCCTTTCCCCTCTCCCCTCTCCCCTCTGTGGCACTTGGCTCTGTCTCAGATTCGGTCTTCTCATTGGCTTCTCTACGTAAACCTCACATCCAAGCTGACCCACACTGCTGAAGATCCTCGAGGACATGACTTACCCAGGACCACATATTAAAAAAGCTCTTTTTACCGGGCATCGCTGGGTTTCTGTATTCCTTTGGGAATCTCTCTGAAAGTTACCAGCGGACGGGGGACTCTTAGCACACAAGGCCCTCCCCCTAGGGTAGCTTTCCTTGCCTTCTGACATCCATCGTCCTGCACAGCGCAGGGTTCCGTGTCCCTATCAGTCCAACAGGTTCATTTCAATTCTTTAAAATACCAAGCTAAGGCTGGCATGGAGTCTTCCTCACCACCTGCTCTCTGGAAAGCACGGGAAGGCCTGGTTCTCTTACTGAGCCCGAGGAAAAAGAAAGAGACGGGTGTAAGTCAATCTTGCATTTAGATCTTACAATAAAAACGAAGCTCATTGTACTTCCCTCAGGTTGAAACTCTTTCTTTCGTTCCCAGTTTGAACACTGTTTTAAACGGAAATGAAACAATGGCGTTTTGTGCTTTGAAGATGTTTAGAAAACGTTCATCCCACTCAACAAGGCGTTGAGTGAAACCCCTTTGCTCCCTCTTTCCTGAGTGAGAGCCCTCGGTGTCGGCGGCTCTCCTCCTCCGAGGGCCTCGGGGCGCTGGCCCAGCCGTCACCCCTCTCCTTCTCTGTCTGTGCAGAGGCCGGAGGCAAGAAGCTGCGGAGCACGGTGCAGAGGAGCACGGAGACGGGCCTGGCCGTGGAGATGCGGAACTGGATGACGCGCCAGGCGAGCCGGGAGTCCACCGACGGCAGCATGAACAGCTACAGCTCCGAGGGCAAGTGAGTGAGGCCAGCCGGCCGTGGGCACAGCCCCCCGGGCCCGCTCCCTCCGCCGTCACCAATACCGCCCCCCAATACACACACACACACACACACGCGCTGCAGGGCCGTCTGGGTGTGCACTGGTTTGCTGTGGAGACAGCGTGGCTCACCTGCCACAGGCAGACCTGGATTTTTATATCGGGGACCAAGGTCTGGGGATAAAATGTTGGGCTTCCATGGCAAGATGCTAAACAGGGACTCTCACCGTGCATGCAATTAAACACCTGCCCTCGCTGGACACAATGCACCTCAATGCACAAAAATAGTAAGCACTCATGCCACTCCTGTGTGAACAGTGCTAGCTAGCTTTAAAAAAAAACAAAACAAAAAAAAACAACTTTGCTCTGAGGGTCATGACTGCAAAGGAAAGAACTCTGCTGCCTGCCTAGTACCCACGAATATATGGATATTTGAGGGAGGAGCATTCTGTGCTGAAGGGGTGCTGGGGCTTGGGAGGCGTCGGCACTGAGTAAGGGCAGAAGTGGTGACAGACTGGGAAGTGAGATACGGTGAGCAGGGGTGGACGGTTTGTGCGGTCTGTACAAATCATTGTGAGGACTTTGCTTTTACTCTGAGGGATGAGAAGTCCGTGGAGGGTTTTGAGCAGACATCACTCTGACGTCCGCCATCACTCTGCCTGCTGTGGGGGTGGCGAGCACAGGTGGCAACAGGGAGGTCTCTCAGAAGCTGGAAGATGAGGGCGTGGGCCGGAGTGATAGCATTCCTGGGGTCAGATTCCAGATGGATTCTGATGATAGAGCCAGGAATATTGATGCAGGCGATGTGACATGAGAAAAAGAGAGTGTATTAAGTTTGCGAGGGCTGCCATAACACAATACCACAGACTGGGTGGCTTAAACAACAGAAATATATTTTCTCATCGTTCTGGAGGCTGGAAATCCAAGGTCAAGGGTGTCAGCTGGGTTGATTGCTCCTGAGGCCCCTCTCCTCGCCGTTGGCTTCCTCCTCACTGCGTCCTCATGTGGTCTCTCTGTGGGTGCCTGTCCCTGCTGTCTCTCCCTCTCCTTAGAAAGACACCAATCGTATTAGATTAAGGCCCCACCCTTACGACCTCACTTAACCCTCATTAGCTCTTTCAAGGCCCTACCTCCCAATAGTCATACTGGGGATTGAGGCTCCAGTACATGAATTGCCCAGAGGGAGGGGGAGGGGGAAACACGGTTCAATCTGTAACAAAGAGGAAAGACATCTCCGAGATTAATGGAAAGGGTAAAGTTGAGGGTTAAGATGGGAACCCTCTGAAGGGAACAGAGTTGGTGTTTTGTTTGCTTGGGGTTTGGGACACGTTCTATATTTCATTGCCTATTAGACATCCGAGCAGATAGGTTGACTAAGCGGTCAGAATACAGGTCTGCGGCCCAAGGGTGAGTCTCAAGCTGGAGATGCCATTCTAGGCAGTGTCAGCATCGATGGTGTTTAACACCACCAGACCGGACGAGATTACCGTGGGAATGAGGATGTGGAAATGAGGTTAAGGGATCAAGCTCCCGATATTTAGGCAGAACTAGCAAAGGAGACTGCGGTAAAGTGGCCAAAAAGTAAAAGAGTCTGGGAAACGGTCATTTGGGTTTCAAGGAAGAAACAGGCACTCATTGTGTCAAATGACACTGAGTTAGATAGTACTAATTAATAGAGTGTTAGCAGTTCAGTATACCTCTGTGGCTACTAGGTAACTTTATCAGAGAAATTTTAGCGGAGTGGGGAAGATAGAGCAAGGAAAAACGTGGTAGAGTTGCGAGGGAGAGTGAGAGGAAAGACATCGAAGACAGCACACAGAGACAACTCTCTGGAGAAGTTTCCAGAGAGAAATGGGGTGGTGGCTGGAGAGGGAAGTGGAGTTAGTGGAGGGAACTTTTTTTTAAGGTGGAAGAAATAACGGTATGTTTGTGTGCTGGTAGGAGTGATAGGAAAAAAGTTTATAAGATGGGTTCAATAATGGAATCTATCTCCTAGGGCAGCTAAGATGACCGGGTATGATAATGCCAGTCACGGAGTAAGTGTTCACTATGTCCTGAGCGCTATTAATAGAAACCATAGTCCATGTCCTCCAGACAAGGGAGAGAGAGACACGTGCACGGAAGCCTGCAGTGCAGTGTGACTGGTGCTCCTGGGTCACAGGGGCTGCTAGAGAATGAGGAGGGAGCACCATGGGGTCCAATCAGGGCAAGTGGCTAACCAGCCTGCCCACAGCTCCAGTTGGAAACCTGGCTGCCTGTTGGAAACCGAGCTTGAGGGTTTAATCCCACGTGTTACTCTGCTTTCAGTCTGATCTTCCCCGGTGTCCGCTTGGCCTCCGACAGCCAGTTCAGCGATTTTCTGGATGGCCTTGGACCTGCCCAGTTAGTGGGGCGCCAGACCCTGGCTACACCTGCAATGGGTAAGAATGTCTGTCGTGTGATTCTGTCCTGTGGTTGTTCTTTTAGATTGTGGAGAATAGCATTCTTTCCTTTCCTAGGATTTTTAAAAATATATACTTTATTGATTTTTTTTTTTTACAGAGAGGGATAGAGAGTTAGAAACATCGATAAGAGAGAAACATGGATCAGCTGCCTCTTGCACAACCCCTACTGGGGATGTGCCCGCAACCAAGGTACATGCCCCTGACCGGAATCGAACCTGAGACCCTTGAGTCTGCAGGCTGATGCTGTATCTACTGAGCCAAACCGGTTAGGGCTCATTTCCTAGGATTCTTAACAGTATTACCAGGAGGAATAAGTATTCTATATTTTAGCAATTTAAAAGCATCTTCAACTAATTCCCCCCCCCCCCATTTCATTTATATGCTTTTAATATATTTTATTGATTTTTCACAGAGAGGAAGAGAGAGGGACAGAAAGCTAGAAACATCGATGAGAGAGAATCATCAATCAGCTGCCTCCTGCACACCCCCCCAATGGGGATGTGCCCGCAACCCAGGTACATGCCCTTGACCAGAATCGAACCTGGGACCCTTCAGTCCGCAGGCCGATGCTCTATCCACTGAGCCAAACCGGTTTCGGCCATTTATATGGTTTTTAAAGTGAGATGCTCTTCCTAAAATGTGAAATCTATGTGAATTTAGGAAAGTAAGTGGGAAATGCTGAAACGATGTTAAGCCAAGGCCTTTGCGTGGCATTTTTCTTACCTGCATCTGTATGGTGAGTTCTGTTTATCTCTCCCTCCCATGCGACCAGGTGACATCCAGGTGGGGATGATGGACAAAAAGGGACAGTTGGAGGTGGAGATCATCCGGGCCCGTGGCCTTGTCGTCAAACCAGGTTCCAAGACACTGCCAGGTAAGAGCAGAAGAGACGCTTCTGTTACTGCTCACCATCCACATTGTTTTTTATTAACTAACACATGTCAGTTATCTGTAGTGGTTTGCGTGTGTGTTCTGAGTGAGCACCGGTGAGGGTGGCCTGGTAGGGGTGATGGATGCTGTTAAATACGTATGTATGTATGTATGTAGTAGAAACTGCTGCAAAATGGAAACTACCACACAGACAGCTCGCTTTGTTCTGCATGTCCATTAGTGATTCTTCTTCTCATTCGCTGGCGTTTTGTGTCATTCGTCGATTTGTCTGGAGCTTCAAAATTTTTCCTCGGGAATCCTTGAGGTTCTGGAATTAGAATAAAAACAGATAGCATAAGCCTGTGTATGCAGGACATTCTCATGATAAGACTTACTTCCTGTAGTGTCTAAAGGGAACGAGGCATCTGATACATTTTCACGATGCCACACATTTCGTGCTGAAGGCGTGTGTGTACTGAGTTGCATGTAGCACGGGCAGTGCCTCAGATCCCTGCACGGGGCAGGCAGGTGTGTCCGGATCTGATGTGCAGAACAGCTACGTACGGAGGAATCTGAAACGAGGTTTCTCACCTCAGCCCCTCCGCTGGCTGGTTGTGATTTCGAATCTCTTAACTTCGCCAGCCCTGCAGAAATTCTCAGTGACAATGTAAATGACCTGTTCGGCCTTGCGGTGGTGATGGAGGCAGGTGTATTTATACCGGTCTTGGAGCTGGTAGGCCCTCTGCCTTGGAAAGAATAAGGCCATTTCTACATGCATGAACATGCTTTCAGGAAGGGTCTGTCAGATACATCCCGAGCTACGGAATTCAGAATTCCTTTCCTCCTCCCGGCTCATTGGACTCACGATGCAAAACCTCAGCCTGGTCATGTGCCCGCACCACCATGAATAAACAAACCCTTTGTGTTTCTTAAACAGATTTACTCGCCAAATAAAAACCCCTTTGAGTGATAAGTGATTTATGGGGATGGGTGAGTAAAACAATATAGATTAACGCATGTTTGATTAGATTGAAATGCTGACAAATGAAAGATGAAGACATCTCCCTTGAATACCGTGAGGGACTAGACGCATTTGACCTTTAGTTACTGCACATCTGTGTGACCTGTTTATGGCAAGTCAGTCATCAGGGGCTGTGGTCACTGCCTGAAACTGCCCGAATGGCCTACGGCTACCGTCTGTCTCCCTGATGATTGTGACCTCGTGTGGAAAGGCGGGTGGGTGGCTGTGGGTGGCCAGCTCCTCTGACAAGGTTAACCCATTGCAGAGGTCACCTACGAGTCGGGTATTCCGTAACCACGGCGCCTCCCCTGACTCTCCTCCTCCGTCTCTTCTTTCCCAAGCACCATACGTCAAGGTGTACCTCCTGGACAACGGAGTCTGTGTGGCCAAGAAGAAGACAAAAGTGGCCCGGAAAACACTGGAGCCCCTCTACCAGCAGCTGCTGTCCTTCGAGGAAAGCCCCCAGGGAAAGGTCTTACAGGTACTCGCTGAGCTGTTTATCCCTCTCCTGAGGAGGCGCTCTCGTGGAGTCAGACCTTGTCGCCCGCATCCTTCCCTGTCCCTCACCGCGGACACGCTTGGGAAACTTCAAAGCAGGGGCCTGTGCTGTCAAAGCTACAGACACTGTTGTTTCCTTTAAAGTAAGGTGACCAGACATCCCGCTTTTGGCAGGACAGTCTCGATTTTTAACAATCTGTCCCACGTCCCGATTTTCCAAAATTTTCCCTCGGGACGAATTGTTGAAAATCGGGACATCTGGTCACCTTACGTTAAAGGGGAAGTACAGACTAGTCAACCCCATCACTAAATGTGATACATCTCCCCAGACCACGGATGGTCTTCACACTTCATACCGTTTTCCTAACGCACCTTCGGATTCTAGTAGCGAAAGGCAACGGTCCCGGGACTCAATACAACGGTTTAACGTAGAGGTGTCGAACTCAATCAGAGAAGGGGCCAAAATCTAAAATCCAGCCTAAATCGCGGGCCGAATGGTTTCCTGAACAGTCATAAACTGTCATTGTGATGGAAACGCAGCGGAGTGCAGTGATGACAGCGCGGTGCGGGCCACATTGCAAGGCCTGGCGGGACGGATTTGGCCCGCGGGCCTTGTGTTTGACACATGTGGCCTACACAATCGTACCAACATCGTTCTCATTTTTTATCTTGCCAACAGATCATCGTGTGGGGGGACTACGGCCGCATGGATCACAAGTCTTTCATGGGCGTGGCCCAGATACTTCTGGATGAACTGGAGCTGTCCAACATGGTGATCGGATGGTTCAAACTCTTCCCCACATCCTCCCTCGTAGACACGACCTTGGCCCCTCTGACGAGGAGAGCGTCCCAGTCCTCTCTGGAGAGCTCAGCGGGACCTTCTTACTCTCGTTCATAGCAGCTGTCAAACTGTTGTCCTAGCAACCAGCGTTCCAAAAAAAAAAAAATAAAGAAAAAACCACAGGTCGCTAACCCTGGTAACACTGCATGCTTAATGTTGTGTCTTCTGAGCCCGTTCCTAGGGATGCACAAGCGATCCTGTGTTCTCAGAGGAAGTCGCACACATTGTGCCTACAGAAGGCCCTCCAGTGAGAGCAGCGCTGGGAAGAGCTGTCAGGTGTGGAGTTGCGGTGACACTCAGGTTTCGGTCCGATCTGAAGCCATGGATGGATCTCAGAGAAGCAGTCCATCTCGCGCAAGCAAAAGCCCTTTTCAATGGCACCTTTCTGTTTTTACCGTTCCTTTCTCTTCGTTTCTCTGACCCCCAAGCCCTGCTATGCCACAGAGATGCAGTGAGCGATACAGCCACTGAGCCATGTGATCAGCCAAGGAGTGTGAAGTCTAGAAAGTACCAGGTGAAAAGCAGGAGACCTGAGCAGTTCTCTGAGGCAGAGCATCAGCAGCCCTCACGCCAAGATGCGTTGGACTGTGGGAGACAACATTCTGTGGCTACACCGTACTGAATGACACTAAAGAAACCCTTCTGCATGGACACAGATTAGCTGAATTACTTACATTATTTTCTTGGGGCTGCAACTTGCAAAAAAAAAAAACAAAAAAAAAACCACAACAAAAAAAAAAACTCAGCCATTTTCAACAATTTATATTCTTTTTAAAAATAAATTTCACTAGTGCATGGTTTTAAAAAGGGGGCAAGAATGCAACAGGGTGATACCAAGACACACCATGTTTATTATTTAATCCTAGTCTGTGTTTTGGCAGACATGACAAAAGAAAATACTTTCTAGAAGTTACTTAAAATTCTCTTTGTGACGACTGGATGAATATTCCGTTTATTTTCCACATTAACTACACAAATCTAATGAAGTTCGAAATGTGCAAATTGTTCCACCTTTCTCCTCACCCCTCTTTTAATCTTTTATTTTCTTTCTCCCTGCAGGAAAGAAAATAAATTATTTAATTATTCTAAAAAATTATCAGTTTTTGACCTGATACTCTCTTGTACCCCAGGTTTGATTCAGAGCCGTAGATGCTTCTGAATGTATGAATTTTTTCAAGGGGAAAAAAATGTAAGAGCTTTCTGTATTTCAAGCATGTTGGAAAGGATTTTGGAACGTGGCTTAGGAGTGCACTAAAGTAAGTCGGCATGTATTCGACAAAGAAGATACGTGAACTTTTGCAATCCGTTGTCCAGTGGGAGTGCATGGTCATTTTACTTTCGCCTTCCAGGTTTAGTTTACAGGAAGGTTCTGAAATCGCGTGGCCATTGTCAGGTCCAGCAAATTTGTTTTTACACCAGCATTATTCATTCAGGGGTTAAAGCATTCTTTCTAGAAGGTCTCTGGTTTCGCTTTCTCATTGATTAAAGCGATTTCTTTAGCCAGTTTCCATTTACTATGTGAATGGAAACGCTGCTAAAACGTTGGGGCCCTGGAACGCAGGGCTGTGTATTTATTTTTATTTTTTTCAGTAGTAAAATTCAGTTTTTCACGAATTGTATTTCTAAATAAATAGAGCACACATGAATTTGCAACAAATAACTTTAAAGCTCCAATTTTTAGATGACTCAAAGGAAGTCAGTCTGCCTATTCACAGTTCACCAAAAGTCAGACCCCTGCCTTTGGTCTTACAGACGGTTGTCATTGCCATTGGGTGGTGCTACCAGGTCAGATTTCTCTTAAAGGCCCCCTGGGTAGCAGAGAAGTCGCCGGTTAATGTAATAAACCACCCTGACTTCCTGTTTCTTTATGGACACTCTGTACACACATTCTTATAGGTTGATTTAATTTCTTGCAATGACTATTGAAATCCACCTCCATATAATTTCTTTAAACTAAAGCCATGCACCAAATTTTTTTTTTTTTCTTTTTAAATTCAGTGGTGACATTTAGAACTATGCTTGCTATGGTGCAAAAGTTAAAATGAGTATCACTGAAAATGCCTTCTCTTTATGTGGTGCAATATGAAATACACCGAGGCTGCGTCTTGGCGTTCTGAGATCTGTGATGGCCCCGGGTGAAGTCGTTCAGAGAACGGGTAGAGATTTACTGAGGTAACCTAGACACGCGTGTACCAGCAACAATTGGTTTCATAGACCTACAGTGTCAATCCTCTCCCTTAGGATTAAACGTTTACCATTTCCCCGACACTAAGACGCGGTCACATAATCTTTTGTGTATATACCTATATAAATTCTTTCTAATTTTAATAAGAAGGACGTGACTGTACGGAATATTTGTACATAACTCGTCATTGTGCAGTATTTATTTAAAAGTTGGTGTATTTTTTTTCTTTTTTTAATTTTCACATGTCTGCACCTCGACTTGTGGTTTAGTCATGTAAATAGCACTATCCCGGTGACCACTGCTGCCCTGTACATAGTATGTTTTAAAAACTAAAGGGAATTCCAGTTGGAAAAAAAAAAAATTAAATAAAAAAGGGCAGATTAGTCCTGTAAAGAACACCAACTAATGTAAATCAAACTCATTCTGGTGATGGTATTTAACACTTTAAATAAAACATTTTTCTTTACAGACTTTGTATGCATGGCTCTTCTCTGGTTTCTCTTCTCCTGACACCCCCGCCCCACCCCAAACCGGCGGCAGCTCATTCCTGGGACCCCGGTGGCTTAGAGACAGTTAAAGGGTCTTTCCTACCTCTCCCTGCCAGGCAGACGGCTGGTCTAAGCAGAGGGCTCTCCGTAGAGCAGTTCTTCAGAGTGCCCAAGGATTTCTGCTCACATCATTAAAAGCTGTTAATTAAAAAAAAAAAAAAAAAGTTGACGGTTGTTGCTGTGGATCGGGGGCTTTCTGATTCACCGCCTCTGCAGCTCGCAGGCTGTGTGAGTGGAATGGATGGGGTTTCTGAGTCAGGGTGGCCTCCACGGGTCGCAGTTACAGAGAGTGCCCCGCAGGCTCTGCGGTTCTCGGATGACAATGGTGAGGGTGACCTTTGGCTCGACAGTCTGTGTTTCCACTGATGTGTCTGTCCAGCTTTGTGGGGTGGGGTGCGTTTTCAGTCCAGGGCACAGTGTGGTAACCTGACTTAGACGACCTGTCCAGAGACTGGCTTCAATCGTGTGAGCATGAATGATGAGAGACTCTCTCCATGTGTCGCCAGGACAATTGTAGGAATCCGGGCAGAATTCCATGGTGGCCCTTCCTGGTTCTGAATTTTTGTGTTTTTTAATAATAATATTTTAGGATTTTTTTTTCATTCTTTTTTTTTTTCCCACAGAGAGGAAGGGAGAGAGATATAGAAACATCGATGAAAGAGAACTATCAATCAGCTGCCTCCTGCACAACCCCCACTGGTCATGCCCTTGACGGGAATCAAAACCGGGACCCTTAAGTCCGCAGGCTGACACTCTATCCATCAAGCCAAACGGGTTTCGGCCTGGTTCCGAATTTAAGAGCTGGTTTGATTAGTTAGAAATCAGCTGAAATCTAAACCTAGTTCACTCTTGAAAATAGTAATTTCTTCCATTTCCAAGGACTCATTTCCAATCCAGTCCCCCATACCGATCCCACATTTTTTCATTGCTCAACAAACACCTCCTGCTCTCACGAGCTATGTCTTGGCTGTTCCTACACTGCTATTATAACAATCCCCTTGCCTGATAAGCCATCTCCTGAGAACCCCTCTGCTTTCTCAACGCCATCCATGTTAGTCCCTTCCTGCAACTCCCTGCTCAGCACTGAGCAGGTCCTGACGAAGCCTAATGCTATGGCTGCCACACCTTCATTTCCCCGGACTCCGCATGCCCAGGCTCCATGGCAACAGGGAGGGCATGCTGGCCACTCTGAAGGGCTGTGGAAGAACTGGTTAAAAATCACACAGCCGTCTGCCTGGACTGACCCACCCACTGTGCACCTATGTCTTGTTCTTCATGCATTTGTCTCTACTCTCAACCCATGATGCCCTCAGCATCCTGTGGGAATTCCTGGACTGAATAAACCAGTTTTCGCACACGCCTTTGCTTTGTGAAATGTGTCTTGAGAAGCAGCAATGTAAGAGGAAATTAAGAACAACAAACTGTGCCACTCAAATTCTCCATGCAGCTTAACTCGAATCAATCTGTGCGGCATTTTCGTTCTCTCTGGGAAGATGAGCCTACATACATTAGATACTCTTCTATCATTAAATCAAAACTTTGGCTATCATGGAGGCTCTATCAAGGAAGGGACCTTATCTTTTTTTCTTCCCCTTCTGTATCCTCAGCGCCAAGAACAATGCTTGGACACATAGGCGCTCAGTAAATATCTGCCCAGGTAATGACTATCTAGTCCCTGCTATTTTTGTGACAGTGTTCTAGGCATTATAGTGAACAGATCAAGCATAGCCCTGTCCTCATTGGATTTTGATTCTATGATACTAAAGAAGGGATACATTGGGTTAAAAAAAAAAAAAAGTATTGAAAGGAGTTAGCTTGACAAGCAGGCAGATAGGACAGGTCCAGTGGAAAACAAAGGCAGGTGGAACATGGACAGGGGCAGGCACGGCAGTCTGAGCAAGCCTCATTGCAGGAACCAACCATGCAGAAATAATAGAATGTTTTTGGACTCAGAGCAGAAGGCATGTGAAACCAGGGAGGATCTGCAACAATGAGGTGAACTGAGGCATAGGGACAGGGAAAGTTCAGGTCCGTTGCTGGGCAAGAACAATCGAGGGACTCAATCAGGTGGCAACACAGGTAGATACAGAGCAAGCTTTTAGCAAATCTATACCCCTAGACTACAAGGCTTCAGTGGGAAACCCATTCTTTGGGAACCTTCCCCATGCAGGGAGTCTGCTTGTAATAAATTTTCTATGCTTTTGTTTAAATCTTCTAGTCCACGGTGCTCATTCTTCAGTATTGAGAGACACAAGGCATGACCCCAGGGGGGAATTGGGGGGAGGGGGGGAAGACGACTCGGCTCACCCTTCCAGTTATCAGTACAACATGATAGCTTTCCAAAAGAGAGGCTCCCAGAATGCTATGGGAGCATACAATAGGTGTTTTAACCAAGTCAAGAGGATCAAGGATATATAAAAATAAAAAAATAAAAAAAATAAAAAATAAATGAACAAGAGTTAAATAGAAGGAAGGGATACCAATGGGAGATGGGAGTGAGGTAAAGAATATCCCAGCCAGAGAGAACAGCAGGTAAGACATTTGAAGGAAGGGAACTATGACTACCACTCATTACTGTAAAGATTGTCTAAAGCAATAGTGAGTCCATTAGAAGCGTGAATGAATGAATGAATGAATGTGTAAATACAAATTTCTGCAACCTGGGCTATTTCTAAATCATTGAGAATTTCATTGAGAAGCTAGTTTTAATTTAAACTTGACGTGAGACCTATTTGTGAAGGGCTAATCTATATAATTATATCTTAAGTGACTCTCAGAATGCTATTCAGTCCCTAATTCCATTCGATTGTTAGGACATTGAACACAGGGACCATGGCCTGTAGTACCTAGCTCAGTGCTGAGCATGGGATAGGTGCCAAACACTCAGCCTTCACAGTGAGCATCCCCTTCAGATAGTGAAAGAAAGATTACTGTTGTCAACATGGAGACTCCTGAACCCTACAGTTTATGTCCCTAGTTTGCATATGGTTGAGTCAGAAAGGCTTTCAACCTGTGGTGTTCTCAGTGCTTTTTGAGTACCAGCCTTCCGTCATTTTCCTTCGGGGCAGAGGACCATTTTATTTAATATGCATCCTTTTCTGATCCACCCATACATAGTGCTCCCATGAGACCTGTCATTGTCTAACTAGTCCCATCCTCCTTGGCAGCAACTGATGGTGAGGAGGCTGCAGGCTCTTAAACTGGGTCAACCTGTACCCTTGTCTTGTGAAGATTGATTTGTTTTGCCTTGATACCAAAGATACCATCTCTAGTGGCAGAAGCTATTAGAAGGGGGGGTGGGGGGGGGGCGGGGACAGGAACTCCCAGTGGCTATGCTTTTTGATATCTGATGGAAGTTGGATTAAGATAAAAGAGAGTCCACAAGGCCAAGTACAGATAAGAACTGGAGAGACCTTTAGGTTTCATGGTCCTGGGTCCATTGTGACAGGATCAGCTGTATCCTTGCTCTTCCAAGAGAGACCATACATTCCAGCTGTAGTTAGTTGGGTTTTTGCTACTTGAAGTGATGAATCCTAGTTTATACATTTGGCCAAGGACAGACCTTAAAAGAGTTTCTGAGGCTACCAAGGACAACACATAATGTCAAGAGAAACCCTAGGAAGTGGCCATCTAACCTCTACTTGGCAAGTGGTTGGAGAAATAGACTCTGGGATATAGCCCGTTAGACGCTTCCTAAGGCCTAGCTTAACTCTTCCTTCCCGAATCGTACACTTCCAGGGACCAGCACTACCTTCTAGAACTGTATAACATAGGGCTGGTCCCGCGTCCACATAAGAGTCCTCCAAATATTGTCAGTTAGCTTATTTCCACCAACTTTTTTTTTTTTAATGTATTGTATTTATTTATTTATTTTCAGAGAGAAAGGGAGAGGGATAAATATGAAGGGAGAGGGATAGAGAGTTAGAAACATTGATTAGAGAGAAACATGGATCAGCTGCCTCTTGCATACCTCCTGCTGGGGATGTGTCCACAACAAAAGTATATGCCCTTGACCAGAATCAAACCTGGGACTCTTCAGTCCACAGACAGATGCTTTATACCCTAAGCCAAACCGATTAGGGCATCTTCCAACTTTTAGAAAGCAGCATAGCAAATTGGCTGAAAGTGTCTGTTCTAGACAAGAAAGTCTGAGTGGAAATATATGCTCATAACCTTGAGTGATCCATTTATCCTGTTTTGTCAACTATAAAATGGGAAAGCAGGAAAACAATGCTACTACCAACCTCAGCTTAAGAGGATGAGATGAGATAACAGATAATGGACTATTCTAGACATATAAAAATACTCAATAAATATTAGCTAGTGCTGTGGTGGTAAGTAAAGTAATATTACTTCCCACTACTATTTATTCCTCTCTTTCCCCGGCACTTCTAATCCCTTCAACCATTTGTCACTTAACTGGAAACCTTGCTTCTCTGTACAGTCTCTCCAGAAATAAGCAAACGACTCCAGCTGGCCCAAGAAGGATACTATGGCCTCTACTTCTACTACAAGCACAACCCATAATTCTGCCTTGTTCTGTAACCACCTCACCTAGTTCCTTCAGATCGGGCTGGAGGTTGACCAGATCTCCTGGACCCTCTTCCATGGACAGCTGCCTCGTTCTGTCCTTACGGAATTTTGTTTTTAGCCAAGCACAGATATAAAAGTGAATTGTTTTTTCCAAACATTCCAGCCTGCCAAAATCATTATGACTGTCCTAACGCTAGCATAAACTCTGAATAATTAAGATACATCAACTATATTAGCTTTCTCTTCCAGCTCTGTGTCCCCAGCAAATCTGATAAAGCTACTTCATACCTATCTCTACTGAGATGTGGACTAAACCAGACTCAAGATCCAAGCTTTGTAACCTTCTACGGGTGCTGTTAATAGCCATAGTAGTTCTTGTCATGTACAAT